TCAAGACCTGTTAGCTGGACGTTAGCTAAGTTATGATACTGTATGTGACACAAACACAGAGTTTATAGTGCCAAAACGAGTCATATGGGTACGAAAATAGAAGTACGTGAGATATAATTAATAAAAAAATGTTTTCCTTTATGCCCTGTAATGGACTGGCGACCTGTCCAGGGTGTATCCTGCCTTCCGCCCAGTGACAGCTGGGATAGGCTCCAGCACCCCACCGCGACCCAGAAGGATAAGCGGTTTAGATGATGGATGGATGGATGTTTTCCTTTAGTCATTTATGCTGATTTGAGGACTCCAGTCTGGAGCTTCAGCGAGCCAGTATCACTGTTCACTGGCTGTTGGGAATTGTTGGCGATAAACTGAGGGCAGCAGCATAATCTGACCCTGCCTTACCTCGCCTCGTTGCGTTTTCTCACAAGAATCGTCGCTGTGAGCGGCCGTGCTACGCTGTGTCATAAACCAGACTCTCATTTTCACCGTCTGAATAGAAGAATATGCAACACTGCACCTTTAAATCAGTATCAAAAGAGTGATTATGTTGACTGGTGAATTAGGGTGAATTTTAAATAGAGAGGGAGAGCGTATAGCGGATAGAAGAAAACAGAAACCTGGATGGCCGCAGAGCTGCACATTATAATTCCAAACAGCACACGAGAGCGAGCAGCAAGTCTGTAATCTCTCAGTAAAAGACAAAAGAGCAGGAGAGTGGAAGAGGAAGAAGACGAAGTGCAGAGAAGCAGCAAAAACAGGAACTTTGCAGCGAATTCTCTGGTAGATGCTCAGATGGATGTTATACATATTTAAATGTGCGGTAATAAATAGCAGGTTCGATTAGTCATCGCAGCCCACTGCTCTTTAAATGATTGTGAGTGGGAGATGGACGGGCTGGTGGAGAGATGAACACTGGAGCCTGACCGATAAATCATTTTAATGCTAATATCTGCTGATATTGAGGTTCTGCAGATTCACCCAGGGTGCCACTTCGTGGGGTGTGTTTTAGAGTCTGAAATGACTGAATAGTTTTATAGCATAAAATCTAACTGTATTTGTTTCATAGCACAGATGCTAAAGGGACTTTCTGGCCCAAAACTAGCATTTAATGTTATTTATCATGCTTTGTGATAGTCTGTAGTGCAGCGTCGCGTCACTCCTGCTTCAGTTTGACAGAATTCATGATTAGTTTTGTGTTTCCATCCAACAGTGTTTACTCACTGCAATACTGGGGGTTTAAAGATTCTGAAACAGAGACTGAAACCACAATGCAGCGGCCTCGTGTCCCCCTAAACCCCCACCCCCCGAACCCCAACTAGCTGCCACTGCTGCTTTTGCACCCTATTGAGTTATCATTACATTACTAAAGTAACAAAACTCATTTTTCATTTCACAATTAACAATATAACACATGCAAATCACAAAATTATAAAGCTGTACACCGTGTTCTTTAGTGTTCTTCTCTTTAGTGTTCCAAACTTTTAGTAATTTAATAAGACCTAGAATTTTTTTTCCCCATTTTTTCTGTTTCTGCCCCCAATAACAACCCCCCCCCCTAAAAAAACAAAACAAAACAAAACAGAGATATGAACTGAGCTCATATACACTCCTATACATTACCCGGCATGCATTGCACCAATACGTCATCCAACCACTGGGAACCCTGTCATGGTGATGGAGAGACCCACTGATGTAGAGACTAATTAATGGTAATAAATACAGACATGACGTTTGGCTGCCTAGCGGTATCGTTAGCTGTCTGCCTGCTTTCTGCATTAGGCAGATATCAGCGTAATGAAAACCAAGCAGTCCTCATGTTTCTGCCTCAAAGTGCTTGTAGTTTCCTCAAAAGTTCCTCCCACCTTCAAGCTACATCATCAGAAGGGTTTCCTAGTCTTTAATCCGGAGAATCGCTTTAGAGACTCAGTGTCCGGAAGCAAGTAGGCGTGTTTACGGCTGGTACAGCGATAGCTACGTATTCCATTTTGGTCTTAGTGCCCCTTTAACTCTACTGAACCAAGTGTCTCCCTCGCGATGCATTAGGAGACTTTAGTGATGGCCCCTTTAACCCTGTATTCCATGGTGTTGCCGTATGGCAACAATTATTTTATCTCAATTTTACTAAAACAAATTTTACTTTGCTGTAACATAAAATCTGGGTTTTCCTTTCTAATTGTGGAAAAATGGTCTTTTACTTTAAAAGGACAAATACTTTATGACATCACATGACCAGGAATTCTTTTAATGATGTTGTTATTACCATACATTCCAAATACCTATTGAAATTGTATTCGTTTCTAATATTTGTAAATTTTGGGTCGTACATTTCACTAAGTATAAGTTGGATTTGTTTGGTCTTGTTTTCAGTAAAAGGAAAATTAGATTTTATGGTGTTTTTTTTAAGATTTTATGATGCTGTGCTACGATTGCACATCGTTGCCATATGGCAACAATTTACCAAATACCCCACTTTAAAAAAGTTTTTTTTTTTTCAAATATTTACATTATTTAAGCAATTTTAAATAACAAAAATGTGATAACATTAAAACATTTTTATCATGTTTAAGTAATAATTCATGCAATAGAGGGTTAAAGGTGCAGCGTGTAAGATTTAGGGGAGATCTGTTAGCCGAAATGGAATATAGTATAGAAAACCATGTTTTCATTAGTGTATAATCAGTTGTAACTATGGATTGTTTTGTTTTCGTTATCTTAGAATGAGCCCTTCATATCTACATAGGGAGCGTCTCCTCTTCCAACAGAGGCCGCCATATTGCACCACCGTGTTTCTGTCGTGTTTCATATGCTTTACATGTCTTATGCAACAATGTCATTGAAAAATCATACTGTTAACAGAGGACAGAAGATGAAATGGCAGAAACAGACACATTTTTGCTTCAGCCTTCCACCGATGTTTCAAATTTGCTGCATAATTAAAGACAGAAACTGAGTGGTTCAGAGTGGTTTGGTGTGAAACGCTCTGTTCTAGATAAACTTACAGAGTCAGAATTGTTCACAGTGGTGGTGATAGGAACCAGACGTCCACCTCTAAAAGCTCCCTCACAGAAAGTTACTACATGAAATGGTTATAAATTCACTGCCCTGATGACTGAGACCCTGTTTTATGATAGTTCTTAAATTTGGCCTAAATATTTTTTTTTTCCAAATGAATATACATGCAGGGCGTTGTGAGGCAAAATAGTCCCTTATTTTTTCAGATTTTCCAGATTTACAGTTATCCAGTTTTGGATACTGAATATAATGTGTATATTTGCATTGTTGACACTGTGACCCCTGGTTCCCATCACCACCACTGTGAAGGAATCTCGATGGATTTCGCTGCAATTTCACATCAAAACACTTACTTTCTCTGCATCTCTGCAGTTGATTTATGTAAAGTTGTTTCAAAAGCAGCATTTTTCATAAAACACCCCTGGCAGTGTGACGATATTTTATCGTTATTGTGATAAATTATGTCACTGTACGCTTTTCTGAGCATATTGTGGATACGATCAGAACTAAAAGAGCACTAACTACATGTTTCATCAGAAAGTGAGCATAATTAGGGCTGTTTAATTGGATTTAGAGCAGCAGTTTGTAAAACAGAATAAAAATCATTGTAGTTGTAGATTTTTTATTATTGATTTTGTCCAGATTTGTCTTCTTCTTTTTCTTCTTTTTCTTATTATTATTCTTCTTCTCCTGAAAAACGTGTTGTGGAGAAGAGACTGTAAGTTATAGAGACACCAAACATGGTGGGTAGGTGTACTTTGTGTGCGTCTAACCGGGTAACAAAAATTACCCTGATTGGCCAAAGGGCGGCGCTACAGTGCAGCAAAACACGTTTTGCCTCATAACTTCTAAACCGAAATTTTTATAGACAAAATTCTTTGTTTTTCCTGATTCCTTGGCTTGATACAAAATAATTTAGCTCCGTCCACTTATATATATATATATATATATATATATATATATATATGCAAAACTTACTTTTGCGAACTATTTATTGTTTTATTTTTTGTATGTAGAACTACAGATTCTATTTTGTCTATTTTTTTAAACCTCAGAACAACTAAATATTGTGCTGCATATCTTATATTGTGAAAATGTCTTGAAGTATCATGATATAATATGTTTGCCATATCGCCACCTCTACAATTTTAACTCCGTAATATCAGTATCACATAATGTTCGTATCGGTTGGGCCCTGGAGAGTGTGAGACAGAAGGGTGGAGGCTGGTTCAATAATGATGCTGATTGAAGTACCAGGCGGGACCTGGCTCTCCACTGTAAACAGAGAACTATTAGATGTTTTGTTTGGTTTTGGCGAGCGGTCTCAGGTTCACGGTTCCAAGGGTGAGATGAGGTTCTGGTGGCCAGAGGCGGTGCTACATTAGACGGACTGATGTCATCCATATCAGGCTTCTCCCATATCCATAACTGCTATTAACCTGCTGTTCATACATTTTCCCAAACACTGCTATATCCCTGCAAGCCTCTCTCTCTCTCTCTCTCTCTCTCTCTCTCCCTCTCTCTCTTCATCAGTCCAGTCTCTCTCTCTCGCTCTCTTTTCTCTTTTTCTCTCTCCCTCGGCCTCCTCCCCAGTGGTTGCCATGACAACAGCAGCACTGCGCCATTCATGGGCTGTAGCAGCAGAGACATGAGCTCTCTCTCTCTCTCTCTCCCTCTCCCTCTCCCTCTCCCTCTCTCTCTCTCGCTCTACCCTCTCCATTCGATTCCATCCCACGGTGCAGCTCCATCGCGAGGTTCTCCGTTTCCATCCGCTAGAACGTGCAAACGGTGGAGAAACCCTCCACTCGCCTCAGGGAGCAAAGGAAGCGAGGGTTGAAATTTAGAGCCACGGTCTTCGTCTATCTCTGGTCTTCATCTGTACAGTTCCAAGAAGGAAGATGTCTCCTTGACGTTTACCCGTTCGTTCGGACCGAGCTGATTGCGTGGACGTACACATCGGTACCCACTGGAGCTCCGACCGGGGGGTGCAGGGTGTATGTGCTTGTGTGGGCGCACGGCGAGGCGTTGTGGATGAGCTGGCCATCGCTGAGACGGCTGCAGGGGCTGTGCGCGTCTCTGGACGGAGAAGGTGACGGAGGAGAGCTGGTGCCCTATGCCAGTCTGGCTGCCCAATGCGGGAACTGGTATGAGCATGGTAAGCAACCGAACCCCACCCTCAACATCTACCTCTCTCGCTCTCGCTCTCCCTTCTGGTCGGGCTGTATTTCCCCGTCTTCTACTGCCGCTTATGTCACTGTAGAGTGTGGGCTGGTACAGACGCCTAGACCTGTCTGAGCCACGTAGAGCCGATACTAACTGGCGCTGGGCTGGCTGACCGCTCTCGAGCAGAGTTGAGTACCTAATGGCAGGTTAGTCATATTTGCCGGGGCTGAATGGCCTTCATTAAGGCTGCATAAGTGACAGGCAGAAACTTAGCGATGCCAAGTGAAGGACCTGTGGGAGGCGGTGGAGTGTGCGGCAACGTCGCGCTCGAGCTCAAGCGTTCCGCCCAACGCGGACTTTTGTTCAATTCGCTCCAGATGAATCAGAATTCAAAGTGGGTGAGCGATGTAGTTCTGCTCCTCGGCTGTGTGTGTGTGTGGTCAGAAGGATGCTTTGCCCTGTATGTTTTGCTCTACGTGGGCTGATCGATGATGCATTTGTTGAATGGTCCCCCTTTGTGTATGTTTGTGTAGTATGAATGTTCCTGAGCTATTCATACCCGTATGACGCGCCTTTTGGACGCCGAGTCAGAAGTGCAGGCTCTACAGGTGAGAGTAAACATAATGTACCCGCGTATTTATAGAGCAGCCTCAGCGATGCTAGTCATCGCGCTATACCCTCTAGACCACACAGCGGAACCAAGACCGCCTTTGATCAATGCCTCTTGCGTCATGATGGAATTTTCATACCCAAGGTCATTCAGAGCTACGAACTGGTCACTTCAATGTGATGCACATGAGGTCAGCTGTCAACTTGCTTTAAATCCTAATTGTTTGTATTTTCTTCGGTGCTAGAGTCTCTTTTATCGGTGCTAGACTCGAGCGAAAGTGAGCTTACGAGGATTCCTGCTGGTTAGCTAATCTAAATTCCTAGCTGTTTATATCTGAGCAAAGCGCACACTTAAAAAGATGATTCTTCAAGGCAGTGGTTCTGTTTAGAACCATGAGTTCTATTTAGATCCATTTCATGCTTAAATGGTTCTTGGCATGGTTCCAAAAAAAGGAGTCCTCTATTGTTATAAGGTTGACATCGTAACAATAACAGGACCCTTTTTGGTGCTATATACAACACATTCGCCATCAATCTGAAGAACCATTCCACCATGCAAAGAACCTTTTGAACTCATGGTTCTAAATAGAACCATCGCCTTTGCTAAAGAACACACATCTTATTAAACAGTGCAGATCATAAGTGCGTTAATCATCATCATGATTTGGTGACTCAAAAGGTTGGATCTATGAACGCGAGACGTTTTCATCTTGATATCTTGATACTTAATTAGTCCAGGAGTCGCAACCCAAATGTTAAGAAGAGCCATTTTGCTCTTTCAATAGAAAATCATCACCTTGAGAGCCACAATATTTAATGTCCATTTTACCATCTTGGCTGTAAATCTGTCTCAGTATGTGCTGATAGTACAGGCTAAAAATATAATATAAAATATAAACAAAAACACAGACTTACTTTGCTCTGCTTTAAGCTTTAGCTCAGCTATAGCCGCTTTTCTCACATCTCCAACAGGAAACTTTTCCACAAAAGTAGAACAGTTTGTTGTAAAATGTCTCTCAATGTTCGATTTTTGTGAGGCTGAAGTCGCTCCTCATTCGCCAGCTTCTTGTTTGAATTTTCCTGTTCCACCTTAAATGGTGCCTGAGGAGCCAGAATGCAACTGCTTCGCCATTTAAGGTGGAACGGGACAATTTGAACAAGAAGCTGGCGAATGAGAAACCGACTTAAGCTTCGTGACTTTCTGTCAGTTTCTCACTGCAGATTAAACGTGTCAGGAAACCAGGTGGGGTGACTATAAACGTAAATAAGTCCATTCGTCTCCAAATTATCGATGTTCTTAAATCTTTCTCTTCACATTTTCATTGGCTACTAGCTAGGCAAGATTGTTGTCAACGTTGCTATGGTGACCAGCAATCAAAGAACCCTTTAATCATGCTAAGGGTTCTTTGTTTGTTCATGGTTCTATTTAGAATCATTTTCTTTCCTAAAGAACCCCTGAAGGGTCTTTTTTTAAGAGTGTATATATTTCAAATATTTTCCCGCCAGTGACTGACAGCGTTGTTGGAACGACTGACCACTTCATGTCCCTGATCTCTGATGTCGTACCTCACTGGCTGAACAGAGGAGTAATGTGGGGAATCCAGTCAGACTGAGTTTCTACTCTGTGTTTAGAACTGTAGCATTTCACTGTAGTGAGAGTAAAGACCCTGTATGCCTGATTTATGGTCGATTTAATAATAATAATAGTGTTTTATTATATAGTGTATTTCCCCAGCTCAAGGTTGTTTACAAAAACAATGATAAAAGATGTAGGAATGATCGAAAGAACAAATGCTCATCTGTCACATCTATGAGTGACGATGCTCAGCTGAAAACACTTCTTGGTGAAGGCCCAGGCTTAATCTCTACTGGGAGAACCTTTGCTCCAGTTACCTGCATTTCGCAGAACCGAGTGCACCCACACCACGAAAAGCGATGTATGATTATATAACAGGATTATATAACGCACTGTTTGATGATATATCTCTCTAAACTTCTCTGGGAGAGAGTGGAGAAAGCGTATGCAAATCCGTGTGTATTCTTAATCTTCACATTCATCTGAATTAAAGGGGAACTCCACCAAATTTTCAAAATTTCTGCCTTATTCAGTGTTTGAGGTGTAAACAGAGTGATTCAAAGTGGTTTGCTGTGAAATGGTTCAGATGTCTTTACAGTGGTGGTGATAGGAACCAGGGGTCGCCATGACTACAACACAAATATAGACATTTTATTTACTATCCAAAACCACCAGTGAACCTACACGAGTCTTCTGAGTTTATATGGAATGTTGATGATGGAAAATAGTGGAACATCTGAAATAGTAGGTTTTCTTTGGGGACTATTTTGCCTCACAACACCCTGCATGTATCCCTCCACCATGAATGGAGTTTAAAAATATGTTTTACATGAGAATCTTCTCAAAACTACAGGAATCAGGCAGCGTATTCATAACCATTTCATGTAATAACTTTCTGTGATGTAGCTAGATGTGCTAAATGCTTCAGATGTCTGGTTCCTATCACCATCACTCTAAGAAATTCTGACTCGGTAGGTTCCTTTAAAATGATGTATTCCATATTATGTAGAAATTTTGAAATGTAGGTGGAGTTCCCCTTTAAATGTTACAGAGGCTGCCGTTTGATTCTATGTAATTCAGATGCTCGGTTGCTCTGATGTAAATAGGATTGGCTTTGGTCAGTCGCGTGAGGTCAGCTCATAGCAGTGCAGATGACAGTAATGTTGCGTTTGGCGTGTGCTTACTCATCCGAGAGAGTTGAGAAGTTGGCAGAAGGTTTAAATTAGTCACAAGTTATCACATTTTGCTTCCGCTCTGGCCTTGTGGCCTGCGAAAAATAACTCATGAGTCGACATCACGGCGCAGCACCTCTGCTGCGGCTCCCTCTCCCTCAAAGCACAAAAGGTTAGAACAATGATCCGTTTATGGGCTGAGATAGAGGAGCTGACTGTGATATAAAAGGAGGCCCCCAAATCCCCTCCTCTCCTCCACAGCCTGACTGATGTGTTGGTTTACTGATTTAGTGGCTGATATCAGCCCCTAAAGCATCCCTGTTATGCTTATTTTCAATGTTCATAATTATATTTTTATTTACTAGAACAGATTTACAGCTTTACTGCTCCAAAAACGTTATTTTTCTCACACTGTTCATCTCTGTTCACCCTCTGTCTGAAACGCTCTGTTAGAGCTCCTGTGTCTTTAAGCCCCACCTCCCGATGAGCCCAGTGTGCTCTGATTGGTCAGCCTGCCCACTCTGTTCTGATCGGTCAGCCTCCAGAGCGGTTCCACCCCTCCATGTTCCGCCCCTGTCCTGCGGGCTGCAAACAGACCCTTCTCTCCTGAGCAGCTGTAACTCCGCGGTGGCTGTTTCTCCAGCGGCGTCGGTTCTGCTGGATCAGTTTGATCCAGAGTGGATCCTGAAAGTCCGGTCAGCGTCTCTCCACACGGCTACAGCACTGAACACACTCTGCCTTCTCCAGTAGCCGCTGTGTGCTGTGTGAGGGGGTGGAGCTTGCCGGTAGGCGGGCAGTAAGGACTGTGTTACGAGATGATGTCATCCTGTAACAAAGGAAAAGGGCTGGAATTCCAACGAGGCGTTTCAGGCAGCTGAGAAAAGTGGGTTCAGTGGAAGAGAGCCTCTCCCTCTGGAGGGAACGCTGAGCTTTGGGACTTTACAGAACATTTACATGCAGAAAAAGCTACAACACACTAAAGCAAAGGGCCCGGAAAAGCATAATACGCCCCCTTTAATCACTTTTAAATATGGTTCTTTGAAGACAGCGGTTTTATGTAGAGCCATGAATGCTCAAAGAACCATTTGCATGCTTACATGGTTCTTTGCGTGGTGAAATGTTTCTTCAGACTGATGGAGAATGTGTTTTATATGATTCTATATTGAAGCTTTTTAAAAATGGTTCTATATAGCACCAAAAAGTGTTCTGTTATTGTGACGATGTCAGTCTTGTAACAATAGCAGAACCCTTTTTAGTGCTACATAGAGCCATGTACAACACATTCTCCATCAGTCTGAAGAACCATTTCACCATGCAATGAACTGTTTAATCATGCAGTGTTCTTTGAGTGTTCGTGGTTCTATGTAGAACCATTGTCTTTACTAAAGAACCATCTTTTTTCAGAGTGCAGTGCTTAGTATGTTATTTTGCTATTTTGTTATTTTTGTTTATGATTTTGTATGTGTTCATGTTTTGGACAGTCAGTGCTCTCTCACTACAATAACCAGCACTGAGGTGGAGGCTGGTAAGAAGAGGGTTTCCTTCAAACTACAACCTCTAGGGACGGATCGCTGGATGTAGTGATGGTTCAGTGTTTTTGTTTTGGCAGGAGTGCCATTTTACTGACTGTGTAAC